AACAGCGTCAGTTGTGCTTCTACAGCATTTGTAAGCAAACTGCTTTGGGTCATTAAAAGCTTTCAAAGAAGGTGTAAGCACATGCAAGCGAAGTTTCTTCATAGTTGGCATAATAAATGTATGGTGCGAAATATTATTCATGAATCACAGGATAAAGTCCTGTGCGTCAGTGACTCAGTGGTCAGCACTCTCGCCAACCATGCACATGGTCCGGCTTCGCCCCCTGCCCACGCACACCTGATATCTATGGTCCACCTGCAAAATTCGGGCTACCGATATCAAATGTTGGAAATTCCATACCTGTTCTGAAAATACGGTGTGGAATCAAGCTGAAATAAAAAATTTAAAAAAATAAATCTTATCACGTTTTCGCTTCGAAAAATGGAAGAACCAGTTGAAAATCAAATACACAGTAAACTGTTACCTTCCTTCATTACTTCTAACGAGACGATAAGTAGATGTAATTTATTTGATTGACCTTGTAAACCAATGTTCAGTCCATTTATGTTTCACGAAGTCTTAATTCAGTGGTCTGTATTATAAAGAATTCTGCTCTTTCATCTTATTCCTACCCAAAACCAAAAAAAGAAGGCGTCATCTTTGTGCCGAAGATACAATACATAAATGTGGTATTAACAAGTGATCTTTTGTTCCGCACTCTAATAAAGGGAAGACTGAATACACCAAACAGAATATGCTACATTAGGATTGGTATTCTTCTCGAGACAAGCCCTCGAGTGGAACCTGAAAGGGAGGCATCGAGTTGGTCGTCAGTGCAAGAGTGACTTGGAGGAGGTCATGTGAAGAGGAGATGAAAGCATGTGGGCAGAATTGGAGTGGGGTAAAAAAGTTGGCAGAAAACCGAAGGCAATGGAGATGCGCAGCTGAAGCCCTATGTTCCTCTAGGAATTAAAGGATATGATAAAAATAAAATAATATTCAAGTGTTGGTTTGTAGGGATTTGATTGATTTCAGAATTTCATCATGAGCTGACATTGGTAAGAGAACCATTGGAACCGGAAGGTATAGGGTTCGAATCCCGGTAGGTGAGTACTGATGAAGAGTCCCAAACTAGGACGAAACAGCTGTCCAGTACTCCCAGGTTTTCCAATGGTTCTCTAACTAATGTCAGCTCATGATAAAATCCTGAAATAAAATGATAATTCTTCTGCCACTCAGTGTCCTTTGATAAATTTAAGGATAAAACTCGCTGTATGAATCTGTGTATCTAATAGCTGACCTGTTCCTATAAATTGAGATATATTAGTCGTTCAATCCTCGGCTACGGAAAGGCCACAAATGATCAGTAGGGTGCGCTGTGATTGGATGTATATTCAAGGAAATTTCCTTCAAAGCTATCTACAAAGTTAAAAGAAGCCTCCTGAAAGCGGTATACCTCACTACAATCTGCACTGCTGAGGCCTTATCCATTCGGATGGGAAGCTGTGATTTATGTACACAGAAGAAACTTCTCCATCTACCTCGAGTATAACTCCAAGCTCAACTGTTATCAACATTTTCTTAGTATGATATTTATTAGCATCATTCTCTTAACTAACCGTCTGTTCACTTTCTTTACCTGCTACATGATTCATGTTGACACTCCTGTTCATGCTCCTTCATTAAAATCCAATTTCACCTGAACGTTTTTCATATTACTTAACCCAAGTGTACAGTATCTAATCTTCATTCCATATTTGCAATTGGATTACCCATCACCTTTTTCAAATATTTTGATGACGTATGGAATATTCCAAACTAAGTTGTATTCTCAGTTGATAAGCTGAATATACACATATAGCCACTCAAAGAGAATTGATTATATATAGAGGCGTTTGTACAGCTAAGTGAATGAATTCGCCGAATGGAGACTCTTCTCTGAACTATTTCTTCTTCTCTCTAAGTCTGGATGGGTACATTTTGTGAATGATTTAGATGTACATAATACAAACAGAGTAGATGCTGCGACCTGTCACTGTCTGGGAAAAAATAATAACAGCTTCATTCTCGAAATTACTTTCACACACAATATAGAATTCTCAACGTCATTTCTTGCGAAACATTTACTCCACGTATAGGATTTTTCAAGTGGAATATTCATCGACAGTACATCGTATGACGCAGTGTCATTTTATCCGAAACTGTATATTAGTCTACACGACATTTTCCCATCATTCGCTTCTTGAAGTACACGGTGGTAGGTGGGAAGGCAATTATAACTTTGTGTCAACTCATGTTGTGATCCGAAGAGATGGTTGGAAGATTAAAACCACCAGAAAGGGAGAGACGTGGATGCATTACACTGGGGGGAAATTCAGGTATCAAAAATGTTTAAAACAGGGTGAAGTTTGCTGAAATGAAATTAGTGACAATAATTTCACACATATTTTTGCTAATGTGCCCAGCACAATTAAATATATCTCCTAACAAGAAGACAACTTGAATATTTAACCTCTTGATCTCTTTAAAATCTATCCTAAACTTGATACTGTCATTTCATGGGTTTAACTCGCAAAGTGAATGTTTCGTTATATTACGGTATTCTTATACTAATTACTGTCAGTTTTGTTAATTGTTTTATCATATAACACGCTAGACTTGTATATTCCCTTTATTTAAAGTGTAACGTTTTTGACATTGAAAAAATTACCCTATAAATAGTTTTTGTTTCATTTTATCAAGGTGGAATGTACTGCTTCGATTTGTCGGTCGTAATCTATTAGAAAAAATGTCTGTCTTGCTAATGAGAAGCTGATGCGTCATAGACGAAGGAAAAAATTTTTCGTACTCCATTCAGTTAATTAATTTTACGTTATTGTGACGAAATTAGTGGTGAATAATGAAAATGAACTTTTAACACGCAACATCAGAATAGAATAACAATTGACCAGGAGAACATGGGTAGTTGTAGTTTCAAAAGTATAAGGCTTCCGCGTTTTTATTTTAGAGAAGTGTATAAATGATAGCATGCAGCAATGCATATACGCCTATTATCGCCACTAGTTTGAAACGATGGAGATTTGAAGGAAACAGTAGCAGTGTTTACAAATAGCTGTTTTGAATCAAGCAAGCGATCATCGGTAAAAAGTTGATTGTAGGACTGAACCAGTTATTACTAAAAAAGCCCTGGGGGGAAATGTCGTCCAACACTGAAGCTAACATGCAGTTTCAATCCAAGTAATGTGCATAAGTGTGTGTGTAACAGTAATAACATCCTGTGAAAGCACATAGAATATTACTTCACAATATGTAACACAATTACGTGCAAGTGATGACGAACACTAAAGCTAAACGCATAAGGACTGAAACTGCTAACTTATCATACACGTGACATTGAAGTAAACATGGTTTAGTAAGATGGGACAGTATTTCAGAAGAATTATATCTTTGTCTGCAGTGTGGTTTTTGATTCCTGGTGAAATCAAAACTAATGACTGGATCCAAATGACCATAATATAGGGAGTCACAATCCAACGTTCGTTATGTTTAGTTAGAAATCACGAAAACCCATCAACGACAAGGTAAAGATTGCCATATAATGGAGTTGCATGAGTACAGACTGCTGACTACAAGATTTCCAGCCCGAAGATATATATAACGATTTCAAAAGAGAAAGATAGTATATCTTGATGAGGTTGTATTATGGTAGGTGGCCCAGATGTAATTCACACAACTGTAGAATGCTTTCGACTTCTCAATAATTATTTTCTACTTTTCTGTACATCAAATATATGCATGCGAACCTATCAAGGTAGTGAATTTATATTCATATGTGTACCGAATTTAATTTCCAAAGAAATACGTCTTGGACTAAATCCTTCTGAATTTTGTACTTGTTATAATCAAGTATATTATTAATTATGTCGGAAATATGAATTTTACTAATGAGTCCACCTCATGCAAACACAAAAGACGGTGATTTTGTGCAATAGGCTCAGTGAACCTGCTAAGATGACTTATCTGTATTTTTAGATCTTTCTTGGTGACTAATGTTCTTTTGTCATATCATAGTCCATTTTAATTTCAATATTCTGTTATTGTTGTTGCTCCCCTAGCCTATGTACACCGCCTTCTCTTCCAAAACACCTAGTTTACATACATTTTGTTACAAAGCCTCACTGTGAGAGAAAAAGGCATTACATTCTTCAGCAGTTCTTGAAGCTTATGCATTTAACTCGATGACTGTTATCCTCGTTAGCGATAACTGATCTTCAAGACAAAGAAATATACATTCTTCGAGCACATAGATGTATCTTTGTAACTCCGTGTGTTTGCTAGAGCATGGCTAACCGCCCCATTTCAGAGTGATGTCATATACTATTGGTTGAGATGACACCAGGTTTTAATCTGTTGACTGCAACCTTACACGACAAACGAAACAACCGACCAGTGTTTACATCACTTAGATGCGGCTGGCAAGCATTACTATCCGACGTGAGTTGTATCAATCAACAGAATATGATATTATGCCGGTTTGTTTGCCTTCATCATTGCCATTTATTGTACCAAGTAGATCAACTGTTTTTTTGGATTCCTGAAGAAAATGTGGTGATTCTCCACCACGAGCTACGCAGTTTGTAAACGATTATCAAATTCAAGACTTAAGAATGTCATTCGAGTGTTTACATGCACACAATGAGAGGATACATACAAAATGGCTGGTGAACTTGTTAAGTTAACGTATGCTGAAGATTGACATCTAAAGATTCTACCAAAATCTCACAGAAAACAAGAACTATATGCTTAATGTTTCCAATTATATTCATTACTACCACAGTCTATATTCAGGTCGGTGTTTGAGGAGATAAACACTGAAAGGCAATAAACGTTTCATCCCACAGGTGAATACTTTGTATATTTTTTATTTTTATTTTATTTTTGATTACAGCTTGATTCCACACCGTATATTTGGTACAAGTATGGAATTTTCAGCGTGGATATCGGTAGCCGAAATTTCGCAGGCCGACCATAGATATGAGGTGTGCGTCGGCGAGGGTCCTAACCACTGTGCCACCGACGCACAACAGCCATAAATCAGGTTTCCTTTCCAACTAAACCCATTAGGTCATTATATCACAAGTTGTCCACAAAACCTCGTCAATCATCAATGAAGAAAAAAGCTAAACTCCAGTCAATGAGTTAAAAATTATCCAAAACACGACATCATATATATCTTTTTTATTTAAATCTGTAAATAATTTTTTATTATCTACTTTTGCAGTAGTTGTTTTGTTTTTTCTTATCAGAAGGAGGCAAAACACCCACAAAAAGTATCTAAAGTTAGAAGTTCGCCAGATTTCAATGTCCAGAACAAGTAGCAGGGATATTAAGAGTCAGACACTCATATACGAAAATAAATCCAGCCCGATTCACGAGTGCATACACATAACCATTTAGAAAAAAGAAAGAAGCAAACTCGTCCCAGTGTTGTTACAGTCTCTCTCCCTCTCTCTGGGTGATCCTCTTGTTTCTCCCAATGTTTATTATTTATCAAAAAATTTATTTTCAAATTTTAACCAAAATAAAGTTACAAAGACAAAAGTTGGATACAAAAATGAAAACTGTTGAGCGAAGAAGAGGAAGAAGTAACTGATAAGTTGAGTGATTTTGGTGTCTGAAAATTTTGATACGTGGTGTTCGTGTGTGTGTGTGTGTGTGTGTCTGTGTGTGAAACGATGTCCATTGGTTTGTTCATATATCCTGTCTGTTGACTAACATCCATCTATCTATATATCTATCTATCTAACCAGACTTGAACAGTAGGAATGCTAACTGTCCCAGATACAAGTAGATGAAGTGTTTGGTTTCATGCGTCACATAGCTGAAATTAGGAAAAAAGCCGAGGAAAGGATGGGGTGAGGTGGGAGTGGGGAAGGGGGGAAATCAGTCTGAGAAAAATATGAGATAACAGTTGATTTATGCAAATTAATTCGAGAATCTCACATTGAAATTACCGCCAAAAATTGTGTTTAATAATGCAGTGCTTTTAGTCTAATTGACTCCATTAGTTGTATTGTACAATATTGAGGTAGTATACAGTATGAAATTTATCGATGAATACCTGAGGTCAGTTTTCAGTAAGATATACAGTTTTACATAACTCATCCTTTGATACCCTCAATAACTAGAATAGAATATTCCATCACACTTAGAACTGTAATGTCTTCATATAATTGTTACAATTCGCTTGGGTAATTAGAGGAGTTTCTTTCGAAGCTGCTCAGACTGGTTTCTTTATTCCCTGCCAGCTTGTAGTGAGACATTTGAGTGATTTATCAGTAGGTTCGTAGATCCACTAGATAGCTTAAACTTTTGCCCATTACTGTCCTATTGTCTAGCAGATATAAGCATACATAGTACAGCTGCAGATTACTTGTACAACGGGTAGATATTTTTTTGTCACCTCAGAGTTTGTGATTCCATCACTTGGGTTTGAAATGAAGCCATCTGGTTGAAAGTGCACGTTAGAAGTATGTGTATAAAACTTTTCACTTAAGAAATTCAGCGTTTAAAGAATAAGTACTAAGGTGTCAGGGTTGAAGCGGATCCTTAGTACAGTCATACGATATGTAAAATGAATGACGAATGAAATGACTACTTGAAATGTGATCATATCCATCCGAAAATTACTGAAATGAGATTACTCATGGCGAATTAACAACTTCCACTTAATCTATCTATCTAAAATAATGTGTATATAACTACTGTACATTTGTCGTATTCACACTATATAATTGAGTATTGAGTACAAAGTCGTCATCTGAAACATAGATTATTTCAGGAATATTACAGTCTAGGTGTGTTTCACCAGTCTTTGCTCTGTGAGTATTAAGCAAATTACAGACTTTCGGTTAATCAAAATGTGTTTTACGAAAAACATTGATTAAGGAATTTCGGGTTATTCAGTTTTTTAGAAGAACATTAACATATAAATTAACATATAATTATGCATTGTCCTTAAATGATGTGACAGTGTAAAAACAAGAGGGTGGTTATGTAGCATTTTGTCATACCTACATCCTCCCCAAGTATAGCACTACTGATTCTGTGGAGTAGTTTTAAATTAGGGGGAAAGTATTTTGATATTACTTCCAGATGGCGCTCAATAGCTGACCACCTGATATCTGATATGAGTAGGTGAATTCCGAGTCACTTGTGTTTTAGCCTTCCAAGAAATTTAAGTTTCCAAATGTTTGTAAACAGGGTTATTTTCATGAAGCCACCTCTCTTCAAAATGTGATCGATAACACTAACACTTCAGAATTAATCTGATGCTCACTAGTGACTGACTACAGGTAGAAGCTTCCTGCAGTCCCAGTGCGAGTTCGTGAACAGAGCGGTTTGTCAAGTAGGCTATGAGAACAAGTTGTCGCTGATGACATTGGTTACCGATGGCGCTAAAAATGGCCAACGGTCAGAAGTTTGAATTAATGGACCATTGGATTCTCTCGCAGTAGGTGAATGGTCAAATCGAAGGCTCTGAGTTCGATCCCTGATGCGATCATGGGTGTATGTGGTGCTGAGTCCCAAACTAGGACTACTTTTCAATGGTCCCCTAACTCGTATAAGTCCGTGATCAAATTTGAACTAAAACGAATCCCTACAAACTAACACTTGAAAGAAATGACTCACATTAGTCTCTTCATCTACTAACCAATGATTTTCTTGAGGTCATCTCAGATAATTAACTATGTGAAATATTTAAATGTATGATACACAAAAAAGGCGAAAACATTCACTCACTCACCTTCCAAAATTTCTACCAACAATACAATGCCATGTAGGATTGTACTTCTTGTCAAATTCTTTTTTCACATAAGCTGCAATATCTTTTTCAATATTGTATTTCTCCATGGCTTGTGTACAACAGTCGACAGCATCCTGTTGCATATCCTCTGTCATATCAGCATTTTTAATAACAGCCTTATTTTCAGTCATATCTAGATCAAGTAGGTAATTCTTTTGTTTAGTCTTGAGGTGTAGAGATAGATACCTTCCTTTTTTTGGTGACACTATTTATAGGATGAATTGAGTTTATATTTTGGTTGTGTGACCTTAATGAAGCAAAAAAATAGAAATACAAAAAGCAAAGACTTTAGTAGCATAGCTTCAAAATTCAGCCTATGCAATATTTGTTTGTATTTTCGAGTATCTAATCTTGCATAATTATTCTATATATAAGATGTAATTTCACCATGGTTGCACTTATACACACATACACACATAGAATTCGAATAAACTAGCTTGTAAAATCTATTGAAACAAAACTATAATCTCTCTCTCACTATGATATAATTGCACATACGTATAAGCTTACCTGGATTACAGCTGCATAAAATACAATTGGTTTTTATGCACAAAGTCCACATTGAACAAGAATAAAATTGCTTCACTTAACTGTCACAAAATAAATAAATGAATAAATAATGTTGATTAATCAAGTGGATTATTGAAAAAAATAAATGAATAAATAAATAAAAGGTAATTAATGATTTATATACAGAGAAATTATGGCCCTAGAAGTTTGCTGATTAACTTTCATAGGAAGAGAACAAAAAAGAAAAAAAAGGGAAGAAAACGCTAGGCAATTCAATAAATAAATTAGAAAGCAGTTTCGGTCAACAGATGTTTTTCTTTTTTGTGTCCAACTAGTTTGAAAGTTTTCTTTCTCTTTTTCAGAATTAAAAATAAGACGAAAATTCCAAAGTTTTGAAACTGTCCCCTAGTATTATATTATTATGTGGTGTAGTATTTTAAATAAGATTTGATGGAATTTTGTTTTTGTAAATATAACAATATAAAGTCCCTTTGTCACAGAATAATAATAAACTCAAATGCTGGAAAACTTTATATTACTCATAGGACATATGATGAATTGGAATCAGACATTCTCGATTTTCACTAATCAATATAGATGTTAATTTCTGGGTCGACTGTAAGATCAACAGAAAACTTAATAATAATATAAAACTTTGTGCGAGTTTGATTTGATGATATTTGATGGTTGGAAGCAATCAGTGACAAGCCTTGGACCTAGGCAGTTGTCTCTAATCACCTCATATCATCACATCAACGTGTGCACTGTGATGATGAGCTATCTAGAATGGTGGCCTAATTGCAAATCTGACTGTTAGAATTGAGTCTGCACCAATGAGAGGACTAGACACATTACACTAGTTACTGGTGTCCAATCGAATTTGACTTTTTCAGAATAAAACGACAGAGTTTATGATCATATGCCTGAGGCAGGAAAAGAAGAATAAAAATGATGAGGATGTAAGGTGAAATTATTTTGTGAAGATAGTGAAATTCCTAAATACTTCTTCTTTTATCTTCAGGTATTGTTTTTGTAGGGATTTTGTTTGATTTCATGGAGGATTTCATCATGACCTGATATCAATTAGAGAACCATTAGAAAACCTGGGAGTCTTGGACAGCTGATTCGTCCTAACTCTCTGGGACTTTTCAGCAGTACGCACCCACCGGGGTTCGAACCCAGGACCTTCTGGTTACAAGGTCAGCTAGCTCGTAGACCACTGAGCCACTGGGACCCGACCCAATGGTCCTTGAATTCTAACTTCTGCCAATTCATGACATAGCGCAGCCACTTCGAACTGTCTTCTTCGATGAGCTACTGCCTCATCTTCAACCTGCTGTACCCTACAGGTCACGGGTTCCCAACAGAACTCCAGGTTAACTGCCTGAATAGGGCCAGTCGCTAGTGAGTATCAGGTGAATTTTCAGGTATGGTGTAACTGTTGCTGAATGATATGTTCTCAAGTATTGGTTATGTAGTGATTTTATGTTTGATTGCATGGAGGATTTCATCATGAGCTGATATCATTTAGAGAACCATTAGAAAACCTGGGAGTACTGGACAGCTATTTCGTCCTAGTTTGGGACTCTTCAGCAACACGGACCCACTGAGGTTCGGAGAGTCCTAGACTAGGACGAAACAGCTGTCCAGTACTTCATCTTTTAATTGTTTATGAAAAAATTATTTGTTCAGATGACCTAAGAAAGCTTATGGCCACTATGTTACAAAGTGTATATAAGCACCATTGGAAAAAGCTGGTGGGGAGTTAACCGATAACTAGTTGTTCTTCTAATGACGTGATACATTTATGAACCAGACAAACTGAAGATTTCATCTATGAATGTCACCTGACCGATGATAGACAACACTGGGACACTAGTTTTGTCTTAATTATAACTCATCATCTGAATATACCTGTATTCGGAGTGAGTAGTGGCGTTTGGAGTGTTACTGGGACTAAGTCGTTTGTATCCACTTATTAAGAATTCATCGATAAATCTTTTATGTCTTGTGAACAACACTGACAAGGCAAATTTAATAAAGAAATCAACATGACACAGTAGAAACTGGAAACAACAGTTGGACAGTTTGAATTACTTTCAAAATTATCATATTTCCCTTTGTACTTGATTTTAAATTTCGTTAATAGACTAAACTTAAAAGGAACAATGCATCATTTATCTGATGGAGAATGCATGCAGCACTGGATGTGAGTGTTTTTTATATAAGACTGCCTTGTGAGGCCAATTTTTAATTGATAAGCACAACATTTAGGCCGTTTGTACTCAAATAAAGTAGTATATTATAGGTATCCATGCATAGTTGACTTAATTCCCCTCCTAACAGAATATGCACTGATAGCGTAAAATCAATTATGACTGTTTTCACAGTTAAAGGGATTTCTTAGAACTCATTATTCGTTAGCTAGCCAGCCATTTTAGTCAAGCATTTTAGACTTAGAGTAATCGACATCCACCATTTGGGTAAGATACTAAAAAAAGACGTGAAAGTTCAGTATAGATGTTACTCATTCCTAGAAATATTTCTTAATATAATTCGGCTGATGATCTGAACAGGACAAAAGTCTAAGGGATCGTCTCCTGTGTTCATTAATATCCTCTTTTTATTATTATTTCATCTGGGTTCTGAGTTGAACAAAAGGCGTGGCATTCGGTGTTACTCGGCAGTCCCCCTCGGTGTATATCCAATCCATGTCCATCTGTTTCCTCATATTCGTTAGGCGATAAGTCCTTGTTTAGTTCATTGCCGGAGTTCTTTATTAGTAACCCTTTCTGCCTACCTGATTTTCAGTTCAGATCGATGGTGACTGTTGATGGAAGTCTGAAGTAGGCTAATGGAAGTGCTTTTCTTGAAACGTTTATTAAGAAGCCTGAAACACTTTTGACATAAACTTGCCATTTCTGTTAAGTAATGCGTCATGAGTTAGGTATTGTATTGTTTATAGTATATTTAGACCCTGCTAGATGCTGATATGAAGTACAATAAAAACGAAATAAACCGATAAATAAATAAATAAAATAATTTAGACGTTCTTAGATAAACAACAATAGTTATGCATTTGGAGTTAATTATTTCATTCATCTATAGACACTGAGAGCAAATAGACAACTACTAAGCGGCTTGATGGATTCTAAGGCATCTTTCATCACAGAATACTATAAATCCTGCGTTTTTTACAAATTATAATAAATAATCCACCATTTGAGTACTAATTAAATACGCAGACATCGTTGAAGCATCTGCACAAGAAGCCGACATGTCAACCTGAGACCGAGCACTTCGGTCCAATCAATCGACGGAAAAATCAAAAATTCAATTCAATAATTAATATGACCCGTTGCACAAGAGGTGGTTGTCGTGGCCCAAGTGGTCTAGTGGATAACACTTTGACGTTTGTAACTATGGGCACTGGGTTCGAGCCTCAGTGGGATGCAGTTACATCCAGATGACGAGTCCCAAATAGGATGAAATGCGCATCCTGGATTCCACTGCTAGTCACCATCCACCAATTAAATAATGCTAAAAGATGATGGATACAATCCCAAATTATTCTAGACAATTTTTTTCAATAATAACTTATGAATTTTCATGACAATGACACAAAGAGTATGCGCTTGCTCAGCTACACTTTTGTTGAACAGTCTTTCTACAGGTTCTAAGTTGATGGCTTAGAAAGATTAATTTATTGGTATTATATTTCTGATAAACTTTGGCTCATTATTTAGACAAAGGAGGAATATCGCTGAAGAATATTCATATTTAATATCAGGTAAACATCTTAAACCCATCATAGACTATGACTCAAAAATTGTGAGTTGATTTAAATAAATTCTCATGAGTTTTAAAAATTGATTCCATCTGTAAAGAAGCGATTAGGACACTTTCATGATCATGTCATGAAATGTCTACACCAAACGGATAGTGATTGTTGACAGTAGTATGCGATTATTACTTAGGTTTATCAGGTTTATGTTTCCAATCGTCATTTCCTTGGCTTTCTTATGTAGGAAGAAACTCAGTCATCGTTTACTTGTACATATTCAGGATTTTAATAATCGAATTCCCCTGTGATGTCATTAAAAACATGTGGGTCAGCAAAACAGTCGCTTTTTGTGACTTAACCTTAGTGCTGTACAGTGATTTACAACGTTAACTGACAACAGAGGTCAAAATGTATCAGTAACAGTGATGTGTGAAAAATGGTGAATAATCTCACATGATCGAGATTGTTGACAACTAATCAGTTAAGTGATGAATAATCATTTGGAAATAACTGACAGAAGAAAGGATAGATGTTTTAGAAAAATTAAAAAATAAAAGGACTAGATAGAGCTGATTAGAAAAAAATCCAGGAAAATAAAATCAGCACTACGAAGATCAGTTTTCTGAGCACAAAGTTCAGGTTTTTTCATGTGGACTGCTACTGCTTCAGCTTTATGAAGTAGGTGTAGGCAAAATCTTTTGAAGGGCTCAGTGGTACTTTATGTATGATTCTGAATGAACTCTTTGCTAACGTTGAGTGACTAGAAGTAATAAAGTGCTCCATTATTGGATTATCGACTGCTCTGTATTATATTTTTGGTAGCCATGTTTGTGAGTGTTCATGAGTACGTCTACACAATGTCCAACTGGCATGGGCTAGATTGCTTAACTCCACAGGAGCAAGTGAAGAAGTAAACGCACACTGAAGCAGGTAACAGTGGGATATTGTCTCTGACATTTTGGCGAGCGACAGCAGGTGTAGAGAATGCGAGAAGTATTGATGCGGCAAACAACATTCTTTGAATTGCTGTCGACAAATAGCTCTGGAGAATTTCAT